CTGATTTGACATGATACGACAAACACATTTCATCTATTAATTTTTCATATATTTCATTAGGCTTTATGAACTATATTAAAAAGATGATAATAAAATTTTTTAAAAATATATAATGATAATTTAATTTTTAAAATATTATAATTTTTGAATGTCTTTAAAAATTTTACTGTCATTAATAAATTTATATAAATTATTAAATTATTTTTTATAAAAATAAATAATTCACAAGTTTTATTTAAATATTTATAACTTTTCGTATTGTATTCACAACAATGCAATAATAAATAAGAAATTTAACATATAAAATTGTGATTTGTTATTTACTGTTGCATTATTACGAATATAAAAAAAAAGTTGTGAATATTTAAATAAAACTTGTGAATCATTTATTTTCAACAAGGATAATTTAATAATTTATATAAATTTATTAATGACAGAAAAATTTTTAAGGATATTAGAAAAATTATGACATTTTAAAATATTAAATTATCATTTATATATTTTAGAAGAATTTTATTGTCATTTTCTCTACTATATTTTGATCTCATATTTTTAGAAAATTAACTTTTCAGAAATTTTACACGCACACGCCATATTTAATATTCTATTTTTCAGAGTTAAATTTACTTTTTAAATAAATATACTAATTTTTAATATTTGGAACTCTGTGTGACTTATCCGAAATAATTATAATCATTATTGACATTTTCTATTTCAATTACTTCACAGGCAAGCAAAATCTGCTGCGGCCCACTTCTCTTCAAATCAACAACGTCGGTGAGGCATAAATTTTAAATTTTAAATTATATATTTCTTTCATTTGAAAATATAAAATATTTTTTGAGTAGTTAGATATTTAAAAATATAAAATATTTTTAATCTTTCGAGATGTAATTGTTAATTTTTTTAAAGTATTTTTTTTAATAATGACTTTATATTTATTTTAGGGTATTTAATAGTGGTGAATATAAAAAAATAAAGTTAATTTATAAGTAAGTAATTATTTTATTAAAAATAAAATTTAATTAAAAATATTTTATATTTTTAAATGAAGAGAGTATTAAAAAAAAATAAAATGAGCTTGGAAAGTTATGCGCAATGACTAAATGATTAAAATATTATGGACGCTATGCGGACAGACTCCAGTAACAGGTTGGTTCTGTCATGATCCTTGATTTCAAACAAATTATTTAAGCTTGATTCTTCATAAGATTATTAGATATGTTGATAAGTTTAGAATTTTATTCAATCATGATTGTAATTATGGAAAACATGCTTTACACATTTGCTTTATTAGTTGTTCAATTAATAAGGGGTGAGAAAATAATTTTGTCCTTAAACTATGAGTATGAGTTTAAGAATATTTGAAATTTTAAACTCTTATTTTTTTTTATACAATATTCTTCTTTAATATTTAAAAACAATACAATATTTTTTTTATTATTAATAAAAGTTAACTTTAATTATTAATTGATCAAAAAATTATTAAAAATATTAAAAATTGCAGAAAAACAAAAAAATTATAAAAAAAGATCCAAAAAATTACAAATAAATATCATCTAAAAAATTAAATACCAATTAAGTTATCTAAATTACAAATAAATGCTAAAAGACAAATATTATTTCCCTTTTATACTCCCTCCATTAAAAAATATAATGAATTTTTAATCGAATATCGCCTCAGCAAACTATTACTCTCTCCATTCAAAAATATAACGTATTTTTAACTGAATTTTACCCCTAATAAAATAGTTATCTACTTTCAAATTAACCCTATCTTTTTATATTTATCCCTATTAAATAGACTACAATAAATATAAAGTCATTATTAATAGGGACACTAAAAAAGTAATGATTATACATCAAAAAATTAAAAATGTAAGTTTTGAACATCCAACTTCTCAAAAAATACCTTATATTTTTAAACAGAAGGAGTAATTATTTTTAAACTAACATCATTTTTTCATAGTCACGCTTATTTAATAGAATAAAAATAAATATAAAATGATTTATTTATTAAGAATATTTTTGAAAAAAAAAGTATATCTTGAAATACTAAAAATACTTTTTATTTTTTAACACCCAACTCATAAAAAAATACTTTATATTTTTTAATAAGAAGAGTATAAAAGACTAAAACTCAATATTTTGACCAAGCACTTTATCTAGCTACTTGCGATTATCGATAACCATTATTCATACCAACACCATTAGCCAAACTTGATAATAAAAGCTTGTGTTTCAAGTAATGGCACTGTTAACTATAATTTGTTGGGGTTGGTTAAGTTTAAAAATATCAAAACAGTAGTTTTTAATACCAACACCAGTAAATAATTAAAAAAATATATTTATTTTAATAATATTTTATTAAAATATTAATACTTTAATAGCTCAACTAGTGTATATATGATTTATATATGAATGTTTTTTAACAACTCAAGTCTTAACTATTTCTGTTTATAAAAAATCACATTCACTTTTAAATCACAAACACACTAATTAAGTTGTAATTTTTTTGAGAAATTGTGAATATCAAAAGTTAACTTATAAATTGTGTGTGAAGATTTATAAAATTTAAATTATTAATATTTTAATTAAATATCATTAAAATGAATATAATATTTTTGGTTACTTACTAGTGTTGTTGCAAGCAATTGTGATCTAATAATCACTTGGTAGCTAGTCAAAGTTGCAACATCTTGAATTTTTTTGATTGGGAATTAATAAGTTAATGTAGGATAAATTAGAAATATGGTGAGTTAATAAGTTAAAAATGATTAAAGATGATTAATGAGTTCCTTGGACCTGTTGGCATTCTTGAACCCTATTGGAGGAGCGAAATTCAAAGTTGAGCCTATTGTGGCATCCAATGTGATGGATGGCATAATGTGCTGTGGCGAATGCTTGAAATCTGACTTAAATCATATACAAAAGTTGGAGCAAACATAAAGAGAGAAATAGAAAGTACAAAGGAGTTTGTGTTTGGTTTTGTTAAGGCACACCATTTTACTTCTTTGGAGGCTTTAGGAGCTCTAAATCATCAAGGTATGCTTCCCATTCTTCTCCCTAGCTCAAGTTTGCCAAGGCTTAAATTCTACATAGCACATAAGATATATGGTGTGTCTTTTAAGTATAATTCCTGTCAATCTCACAAGTTAGGCCATCATCTACTATCTAGCAAGCCTAAACAAGCTGTGGACCTCAAATGTGAAATTCAAGAAGTGGAGATTGATGTCAAGAATTGTATTCCATCCCCAAATCTTTCTCCTAGAAAGAGGAAGCTACAACCTTCATGTGATATCATTTTTAGAAGGATTAAGCAGCATAAGATTCAGGGTAATTATTTTTCAATCAGCACAAGAAGTAGTCAAAGTATGCTGGAGGATATTTGCAAGTCATCTAAGTCTCTCAATCCTCAAAGATCAGTACACTTGAGGAGCAATTAGAGCCAAGTGGTCTTTGGAGGAGGCATTTGCTAATGATCATACTATTTTGGGTTCTTGTGGTGCTTTAGCCAAAAAGCTCAGCCTTCTCACATGATTTTGCTTTGGGTCTCTAAGTTTCCTACATTAGAGGATGAAGATAATTTGTAGTTTCCCCTTACTCAATCATTAATCCATTATTACGTCTTGATATGTTGCATCAATAATCTTCCTACTTGTGGAGAAGCATTACTAAATTATGGCAGGATACATCTTTCCATATAAAGTGGAAGCTAGGCAATGGCTATGGCATTCACTTCTGGTCAGATTTTTGGGTGGGTGACTTAGGTCCTTTGAACCTCTTATCCTTTGCTGATATACCTAGCCATGAGTTAGAAAGACCTATAGTAGATTTTGTTGATGAAAACAAGAATTGGAAATGGCCTCTTTTTGGTCACCTTCTTCCAGAGAATATTCTTAAGGAAATTGCAAATGTAACTCCGAGAGTTAATCCCCACGATAAGCCTTCTTGATTTTGGAATCTGACTAAGGATGGAAATTATAGTATCAAAACAGGTTATAATGATTCTCAATCTCTTCATTGGAAAGCTGAGGAATTCAACTGGATGCAAGTTTGGAAATTGCCGACCGCTCAATGAGTTCGAACTTTCATGTGGCTTCTCTTCAAAGGCCGTCTCCTTACAAACTCTGAACGTCTCAGGTGAAAAATGACAACGAACCAGGTGTGTACTCTATGTAATAGCCCACAAGAGAATATTAATCATGTATTTAAGGAGTGCCACTTGGCAACTACTGTTTGGAAGAAGGTGCTCCCTTTAGATATGCGAACTGACTTCTACAGCATGAACATTAAAGCCTGGCTGTCTCACATTTTGTGCAATCGGCATGTTAATATCTCTTGGAAAATAGGAGTCTCTATACTGTGCTGGAAATTATGGGAGGCACGAAATTTTTGAATCTTTGCTGATGAATCTTCTACTGCTGATAATATCTTATTTAAAGTCGAGCACTAATAGATCACACTGTTAACACCTATAGGATATTTGATGCTTATTGTAATATTGGCTCTTAACCTTTTGTTCCTGTACAGTCTTTTTAAGCAATACAATCCTTTCCACTCAAAAAAATATATGAGAGGTACTAGCTCTCAATCTTGGCTTCTCTTAGTCAATACCCATGGGGGTGCTTACGTCATTCATGACACGCTCGTTGGTCAGGGTGACATAATTGTAGATGATACTTATGAGGCAAGGTCTTTCAAGTTTCTTCAATGGTTGATTCATGACGGTAATGGTTGGGTTAATGTGTGTAACTTCATGTGGGATGGTTTTCATCGGTCGATTGAGTCTATTAGTATTGTCTAGTTCTTGTTTATTTCCTCCTATCACTGTTTAACTTGTTTTATATTAGCATTTTAGTTTGCAGGTTTTATGTACTCATTTTGTCTTAATGAAATATTGACTTATATTAAAAAAAAAAAAATTGAAGCACGTGGTGTCCCACTAATCTTTTCAAAATATCTTATATTTGCCCATTTTTGAAAGGTGAGGGATCCGAGAAGAGGGGAACAGAGAAAAATAGGGAGGAGTAATCTCTCTCTCTCTCTCTCTCTCTCTCTCTCTGGTTCTCTTAAATCTTTGCATTTGATCTTGAATTCCATTTTGCGGATTTCACTTTCCTTTGAAATCCATTTTACTCTTCTTCTTGATTCGCACTGTGAATCGCATGGGTGCAGCCAACACCTGGGACGCCATGGAACTTGCCGACCGAGCTTGCCAAGATCATGGCACTCACATTCTCTCCTCCTCTCTCTCGATCGATCCGTCCCTTTCTCCTCCTGAAATGAATCCTCGCATCATGTTTGTACTCACCACTTTAATCCTTCGTCTTTTTGAACGTTCTCATTTCTTTTGCGTCATAGTCTTTTGGATTTCTTGGTTTTCTTTTTCTCTTTCTATTGTAGTTGATTCATGCGTCTGGTTGTCGCGAAAATATGAGAATATGGTACATGATATTGTAATTGGTTGTGATTTATGTCGTTTCCCTCAGTTGTATTCTATCAGAAGAAATCTATATTACTTCACAAAATGTGTTCTGCTTTCATTCCAAGTGGAAGTCAGTTCATGGCAGCTATATTCTCCCGGTCCCCCCAATTATATTCAGATACTATCTTTACGTCTTTCTAATAATGATTTTGTGGAGAAAATGTAAAAGTTACATTTTGTTGTGATTCTGCAGCGAGCTTTGCAAGGATATGTTCAAGCAGTGGTCAAATTTGGATGATTCTTGCTTTGATATTGAGACAGTTTCTGGAGGCATTACAAATTTGTGTGAGTTATTTCCTTATTGGTACCTGCAATAGTGATTGTTGTTGGAAATTCAAGTTTATTTTATTTGTTTTCTCAGTTAAGAATTTTTGGTTTCTTTAGTTCTTTATTGGATAATGTTTCTTTGCTTGTAAGATAAGATTGAATGCTTTATTTTGACTAGAATAAGTTAAATTATAGTGATGTTTTTATTAGAATATAATTAACAATAGGTTACTTCTTTTATGTTGCTACTTAATAAAATAAGTTCAGAAGAAAAATTAAATTTCAAAAATTATTGAGTATTATATTTGGAAATGAAGTTACTAAATCACTTCATATCCATGCGTACTTCCCCCCCTTGTTTTATGCACTGCCTAACTGATAGTTTATCAATAATTCTCAGTACTCAAGGTTTCGGTGAAGGAAGAAAATGGTAATGATGTCTCTATAACCGTCAGATTATATGGACCATATACTGAGTATATCATCAATCGTGAACGGGAATTGCAGGTTAGACTGTCTACTAGATGCTAATATTAAATTGTGTGGTTAATCTTCTATTGGAATCCAGTTGGCTATTTGACTCTTTTATCATTCTTGTAAGGGTAAAGAACTAATTGAGTCACAGGACAGCTTAAACAGTAGATATGCTCATGGCAATGGTTCCGATGATGATATTCTGTGTCCTTTTCTGTTTATTGAATCCTTTTCTACTAATTGAAGTTAAATCATCTGATCATTGTCTATTGGATTAGGTTTTTTACGTTTTTCCCCCCAATTATATGCTACTATGAACTTCAATTATGATAACCAGACTTCAGCAAAGTTAATTCAATGAATTCCTTCTATTATTTTCTTTTTCCCTTTTATATAACAGGTCAGAAGAATTTAGTGCTGCAATAGCTGAACATAAATTCCTAGATCTTGCTACAATATTTAAGTTATTTTCAGTTTTTGGGACTCAGAATTTCAGTGTCTTGTAACATGGATATCCAATTCATGCCCGTTTCTTGTCCTGTTTTATCATTAAAAAAGTTAGAATAACATCTACAAACAACTGAACAAGTGTTTTTATGTAAACTTGATCTTCTTCCATAATAGGTTAATGGGATTGATGATCAGTGTCAGAAACAAAACTTGGTGCAGTTGCATATAAATGCCCAAAAATCTTTTACTTTTCTGCATATATTATCCATTACTTTCGCTTGTATGCCCTTCCTTGTAATAGTTAGCCAAATATTGTGTTTAGGCCACCAAATACATCTCAGCTGCAGGATTTGGCGCTAAATGGCTTGGAATTTTTGGAAATGGCTTGGTGCAATCTTTTATCAGTGCACGTACTCTATCTCCATCAGGTACATATTTGAAAAACTGCTGGAAGGGCAGGCAATAACATTGTTTGGTTAGTAAAAAGTCAATGTAATATTTTAATAATCAGATATAGGCTTTCATGGTTCGTTATAAATTTTGGCTGAAACTTGAAACATCTGTAAATAGTGATTCTCCATACAAATATTGTATATTGTGCATTGCATGAAATCTGGGCAATAAGTTGTATTATTTATGGCTTAGCTTCTTATAGATTATATATATAAGATCTAAGAGTGCTGCAGCGGACATTGGAATTTCATTTTTGACTGACAGGTATCGTCTATGGGCAGACTTCTTGTTGGACAACCTCAAATTGAAAGCTGATTTGATAGTAGAGTTACTTGATTATCCTGCATTTGCCAACGACAAAAGACTTTGAAATTTGAATTGATTGGGTTTTGAACCAACCTTAGTTTGAATTGAATTTAAATTTTTTCCTCACTGCTAATAAGTGAATTTAAGCATATGTACATTTTAACTCTTTACCTATCCGACTTCAACATGTTTAACAACATCAGTAATGCATTATTTCAATGGCAGACATGAGGGAGCCAAAGTTGATGGCTAAAATTGCAAAACAATTGAAAAGATTTCATCAGTTGGAAGTTCCAGGTTCTAAGGAACCTCAATTATGGAATGATATCTTCAAGTTCTTTAAGCAAGGTCCTTTATTTATTCTTCCCTATGATATAATTAATGGCTTTATATTCTTTTTAATCCTTACTGTTGAGTCACATCTTATTGGAGTGAATTTGATTAGCATAGTTTTTTTTCTTTTTTAAATTGGGAAAGATTGATCATACAGGAAGAAATCTAAAATTGAATCATGGGTTACATTTGCTATAAAATTGGCACGTCTATTTGCTTCCCTAAAAGCTAACTGGAGTATGACATCATCATCCAATGCAATAATCTCTGTTGCACCTTGACATGATAGATGAGTTCTTACCTTCTATTAAAAATTGGGATTTGCTCCTCACTACACCTCAACTCACTGCGTCAAAAGCAGCCTGGCTTCTCTCTTCTTCATACTTGCTGTTTACATCTTCCTTCCTCATTGTCAAATCCAATAGCTCAGTTTCTGTCATGTCTTAAAGCATGCTGATCTTCCTTCCATTATTCTCCCTAGTATCTGGAGGTCTGCTATTGTTTGGTATAACAGTCTGCTCCATAATCTGTGACAGAGGCCCACTTTCCAAGCCCTTGGCTCCCCTTGCATTTCCTGATGGTTTACACTTCTGTTCTTTTCCTTAGCAGCCTCTTTACCCACATAGAGTGGCCATCCTCATGATTGTGCCATTACAACTTAGTGGACTCCTTCACTACTTTTTTTCTTCTGCACTGGAGGCAATATCTTGGGGCTTACTAATTGGATCTTTTCCTTTGATTTTGGCCAAATTGTCAGGCGTCCCTTCAACTACGTCCTACCTATATTTGGCTTTCTAAGAGAAATAGGTTATGATATTTATTGAGTTGAGTAGGATCTGCCTTTTGTATTCCATCAGTGGTATTGGCTGAAAGCAAAATGATATATTTCACCATGCGAGCTGCCTAAGAGTAGAGGGTCCTTACGGATGTTGGCATCTTGCATGCATACATGCACATATTTGGGATTCATATTTTATCAAGTCTCATTCCCTACATGCTTTTTTTTTTTTTTTGCCAGATTTGAAAAGAACTACTTCAATTTTTAAAGACTGACATCACTAAAATTGAATTCTAGGGATATAGTAACTGCATGACACTCTTGTGAAGGGATGATGAACTATATATGCTTTAAAATTAGACATTTCATGTACTTGAGTTGCTAATTTTTTATTTTACTTTATTATTATTATTATTATTATTATTATTTTGCAATTTCTTTTACAGCTTCTGCTCTTGAATTTGATGATGTTGAGAGGCAGATGACTTATAAGACAATTTCATTTCAGGAAGTCCACAATGCAATTTTGGAGCTCAAGGTACTTGTTTCTGCCATACATTTGGTGAATTGTGGCCTTTGTATCTTTCTGTATTTGTTATAAAAGGGTTAAGATGAAAAGGAAGTTAATCACGATCATTGGATGGGAAATGTTTACTTAATCGCTGGATTTGACAGACTTTAGTATTTTTATTGTATGGTGTTAAACATTACACTTGTAGTATTTCTAGAGGCTTGTGCTAGCTCCAGATAATGAAAGTATCTGCAGGGACAAGCAGAAGCACTTGCTATAATTTATCTTGTTAATGTCCAGTTTGAGATAGGATTTTTTTTTTTTTTGTTGGGTGGCAGGTGGGAGAGCATTGCTCTTGGGTTGCTCACATCATACTTTTCCATCCTTTTCTTTTGTCTTAAATGCACTTTATAAATGATACCGTGAAATCCTTAGCTGAACCAGTTTTAGTTGATGAATAATTTGATAATTATCTTCTCTTACTGAAATATGTTTTTTGATATTGCAACAGGGGTTGACTGATCGGCTGACTTCTCCTGTGGTTTTTGCTCACAATGACTTGCTCTCTGGAAATATAATGATTAATGAAGTGGAAGGTATTCTCAGGTCTCAATTACAAGCATATTCAAAATCCACTTTGATTGTCTTGGTAAAATTCTAGTTCTGATAGGACCTTAGCATGCTCATATTTTAGGGAGCTTCTTATTGGTAATTCATTTTAGAATCCTGCATAGTTTGATGCTCTTCTCTTATCTGTCCTTTTGAAGTGCATCTTCTGTATAAACTCTGAGTTGTAAAGATTATATTAGTGCCCCTTTATCAGAGCAAGTTTAAATACCTTCATGTTCTCTTTGTTTCTTGCTTTTCAACATTTGTGCATTTTCAATAAAAATCTTAAGGAAGCCAGAGCTTGTTACTGCTGTGAGACTAAATTCAAATGCAATAATACATGCTGGATTGCCAAAAATAAATTAGTGTTTTCAATTGTGTAATTCAATGGTTGCTAAATGGTTTTAGTTTCACAGTAAGGATGACGAGATTGGTACAATAGCACCCATTTTTCAGTTTTATGGAATTGAACTGATAGAAGAGGACTATATAGTAACCATGCAATAAAACTTATTGCATGTGTTTGAGCACATTCTCTACACCATTTATGTCCATTTATATAATAAGAACTAAGGAGGAGATTGACATGCATCTGATGCTCACATCTGTCGTATGAAGTGCAACATTCACACGTGAAGCGAGAATGCTGAACTGACCAAGTTATTCATTTTTGTATTTTCTTCTTCACAATTCATTGAATATGTGTTCTTTCAAATTTCCAGATAAGCTTTACATCATTGATTATGAGTATGCATCGTACAACTTTAGAGGCTTTGACATTGGAAACCATTTTGCGGAGTACGCGGGGTTGGATTGTGACTACAACTTGTATGTCTTTGTATCCTATTCTCATTCCGTTCGTTTCTCTCCTTTTTCTTAATCAGTTTTCTAATTGGTTGTTGGCCATTTTATTTATGCAGATATCCAAGTAAGGATGAACAATATCATTTTTTTAGGCATTACTTGCAGCCTGACACACATGAGGTTAATTTTTAGTATTCTTTTTTATCGTTTTCAGATTGCTAATGATCTATAATGAGATGCAGTCTATTAAATATAAACCAGGCTGTTATAGTTGATTTTTAATTTTTCACACTAACGATCAGACTGTTAGTATTTTATTTTATGTTTCTTTCATGAAAGAAACATAAACCAGTCCACTTACAAAGTTTCCCTCCAATGACGGAAACATACAAAATAAATAACGTTAAAATAACATTCTGCCACTTGCCAAAATACATAAAAATAAAATCATGAAAAATGAAAGTAAATTAGGTTTCCTTCTACAGTAAGTTTTCTCAGGATATACTAATTCCCATATTCCATCAGACCATCATTAACCACAGCAATTTAATTAATTTGGCTAATGTTAGTGACTGCATATCACACCATCATCTTTTCTTGGGGGTTTATAACGTAATCATTCACTGTTTTGATCACTCGTAGTCCTTTTTGCGCCGAGAACTAAATTAGGTCGGTTTTAGGGTGGATCTTGGATCTCTGTAGGCTGTTGATGATTTTTCTTGACTTATTATCTCACGCCTCACATTAACACGTGGACTTGATTCAACATTAGTTCAGGCGTATCTTGCACACTGCATGCTAGGAAAAAGCTTGTCTTAACTCTCCTGCATTTACATTATTAATTTATTATTTTTATGTTATAGGTAGCTGAGGAAGATCTCTTTAGGCTCTATGTTGAAGCAAACACATATTCATTAGCCTCTCACGTTTTCTGGGCTTTGTGGGGGTTGATTCAGGTATAATGTTTTTTTCCTTTCTGGCTTGTTAGACTTGTATAGGGTAAGAATTATATTTGGTTTTATATATTTAATATACTTTTATCTAATCAAATAACAAGTGGATTTTAATGTGTAATAATATTAATAACAAGAGTTTATTATAAACCAAATTATTTATAAAAATTTACATATCTTGATTTAATGGGAAATAAATACCTTAAGCATATAAAGTTAAGTATATAAGTTTTTCTTATTGCAAAATAATTCATATCCATGACTCTGTGTGTGTGTGTGTGTGTGTGTGTGTGTTTTTCATTCTAAAACAGGCGAAGATGTCTCCGATCGATTTCGATTATCTTGGTTATTTTTTCCTGCGGTACAACGAGTATAAAAGACGGAAGGAAAAGTATTTCTCACTGGCTAAATCCTACCTCTCAGGAAGCATTTGTGCGTAGATTGTTGTGTTGTAATCACACTATTAGGGTTTTCTTTGTCTTGTTTGTAGCATGAGGTCCTTGATTCATGTAGTTAGATTAGATATTTGTGTAAAATGTCTTTTGTATCTGCTTATGGAAATAAAAACAAATTTTAGACAAATAGACCTTTAGGGCCATTTGTGGTTGTCCCTTGTGTTGTAATCTTGAAGCTTAGGGTGATTTATGTTGGGACCAGTTGGTTTAGAGAGTTGAATTGAATAACGTAGAAAATGAAATCAAATTTTATGTATGAAAAATAAACTCGTTTCCTTAAATAAATATTATATATCATATTTTGTGTTAAAAAAAAAATCAATTTTTTCCGTCAAAGCTAGCTAGAGAGACCATAAGCTTTGAAATTGAATTTGTTTTAACCTGCAATGTCGTGTAAACTATTTCCTTTGAATTACAATATAATGTAAACGATTTCACGATTTTAAAAAACAAGTTTGTAAAAATTTTAACTCCTAAAAATTTATGAAGTTTTAAAATTTTAATGTATCAATTTTTCAAGTAGAATAATAAATAAAGTAGGGGTATTGTTAAAAAATAATTATAAAAATTAATCAATGTTTTTTATTTTAAATTAAATAATTTTTATATGCTTTGTACTGTGGTTTGGATAGAGTATTAATGAAGAGACAAAGTTCCAAACTACTTTTTTCCCACATAAAGTAGCCTTGTCTCCCCTTTAATTTTACTTCTCACAATGCTTGACCAATCTTTTTTTAATGAATTAATAATCTGGTATTTAATAAGGGGTTTTTGTAAATTTAGCCTATATTAAAAGATTAAATCAATTTATATTTTACATTATACCTAATTTATTGTATGTGACAATGATATATCGTTGTATATTAATAATAAATTTTTTATAAATTTTTAAATTTTTTTAATGATAAACTCCTTGTATATTAATGTGCATTGACCATATTTTTAAATTTTTAAAAATTTATTCCATATTTTTTAGGAGCAATTTTTTTTTTGGCCAGTGAGCCAATTTATCCTATTTAATGCTGTTGATTAATATTAATTCAAGCATTGTTGGACCAAAATGGTATGTAATTCTCACAGCATGTTGTTTCAATTTGCATTTTTTGAACTACGAAATTTTGTTGAGGATATTAAGTCCATTTTACTTGATTTGATTATTTATTCTAATTGATTGATATTAAACTTGATTCACAACAAATTTTACCCATGCAAGACATGGACTCACTTAATAGATAAACACTTTTGCCCTATCCAACATTATGTACAATTGACTGATTAAAAAGACACTCACTGGGGAATATTTCATATTTAGAATTTTAAAAATTGAATATTTTTTCAGACATTGGGAGAATTTTGGATCCCTCGGCCTTTATCCACATCTCACTCCATTTTTAACACCCAGATAATCTTATTTTGCATCAAATATTATTTAGAGTTAATGGTTATTTTTGTTCTCAAACTTTTTGCATAGAATATGGGATGTCTTGAGCTTTATTTTAGATAATTTTTACTCTTGAACTCTTAAAACTCTATGCCTCCTTGTCTTACCATTCACATGCCACTTGTTGATGGCTGTTTACTTAGCTGAACATGTTTTGTTGACTTTTTTGGGCCATGTGACATCTAAGTAAATGCTTGGTCAGAATTTAATATGGGCACTATTACTCTCGAAATATTTGCTTATGGACACCTAGTGAACTCCATTTTTAGGTCATTTTTTCCTATAAATTTTAAAAAAAACCTAATCAGACATGTCTTGAAATGCGTCCACTTGGATGTCACGTGGCTTAAAAAAGTGAGCAAAATGCATCCACATAAATAGATAATGATCAACAAGTGGTGTGTTAACATTAAGATAATGAGGCAAAGAATTTTAACAGTTCAAAGATAAAAATGACTCAAAATCAAGTTTAGGACACTTGCAGATAGGGCTGTGCAAAAGTCTTCCAGTCCTGTCTGGTCCAGTCCAACCCGAGATGGTCTCAGTCTTGTTCGGTCTGTATAGTCACTAGTCTTTCAGGACCAAAAAGACTAAAAAGACCAGACTATTTTTTCGGGTTGGACTGGACAAGAGACCAGGCATCCGGACCACTAGGTCCAGTCCAGTCCTATTAATTTTTTTATTATAATTATAATTAATTTATTTTTGATAAATGTTTAAAGTGTAATTGATGCTAAGGAGATGATTGTATAAAGATTTATTAAGTTTGTTTCTAAATTATTATTGTAATATAGTGTTGTTGAATTTTGTTGAGTACTGTTTTTGTTAAAGTTATAAATTTAAATAATTTAGACTATAACAGAAATATTTTTTTCTTATTGTTAGAAATTATTATGGATTTATTATTATTATAAGTGTTTTTACTATCTTAATTGAGTTTGTTATGTTGGAATGGATTATTGCCTCTCATAGAATAAAAAGAAGGAAAAAAAGCTAAGTGAGTACTGGACTGACAGGACCAGTCTCCCAGTCCTATGGACCAAGTCCGGTCCTGTTAATCTTCGAGTTATCACTGGACAAGACTAGACTACGGGTTGCCTAACCTAGTCTTTTTCATGAAAGAGACCGGACTTCGGGTTAGGGTGAAGTCCAGTACCGTCCTGTCTTTGTGCAGCCCTACTTGCAGACCCTATGTGAAAAGTTTAAGGATAAAAGTGACTCTTAATTCTACTTTTTTTTACTAATAGTGTGACAAATAAGCAATTTTTATTAAATTTTGAATTTAAATTCAATCATAATTTAGAACTATATTAGGTGATCTACAAAAGGTAAGGAAAAGTTTACATCCTTAAAAAGCGAGAACAAGAGTAAGTTTCATCTTACGTGAGCAAAGATAGAGGTAGGGACACTTCTGTCTTTCTACACCTCAAACACTAAAAAAAAAAAAGCCTTATCTTACTAAGTGAGGTTGATTATATGGACTGCATGATGTCATTATACCCTATCATCAGCCAAGCTTTTAGAAATATTATTAATTAAAAAGTCTCGCTCAACAACTTTTATAAGTATTCTCTTTGATTTTCCTCTAGCCTTTTTTATAAAGACTCAAAGCTATCTATTTCACTTTCTTTACTGATGCTTCTCACTGCCTTCTCTATATGTGTCTAAACTATCTCAAACAATTTTCTGTCATTTTCTTCATAATAGTGCCATGCTCACTTTTTTCTCGTATATGCTCATTGTAATGCCCTAAATTTTTAAACAGATTTTTTTCCCTAATAAACATGTAGTTAGTCAAAAATTCAACTTGTAGGCACTTAACATGGTAGAAAAGTGTCTACTATATTAATAAAGAATTATATTTACTTTTCTAAACCCTATAATGGTAATAAAAGCTTTATTGTGGTAGAAAGAACAAAAGGTAGTATTTCAAAACCCTACCATGGTAGAAAAGAGACTACTATAGTAATTAAAAGTCAAAACAAATTTATGAAAAATTACCATGGTAAAAAAGAATTTTTATTACCATCACAACATTTCTCAAAGTCAACTATCATGGTAAGAAATGATCTATCATGGTAAGAAAAATTAAATATAACAAATCAAGCCTATCATTTTAGGAAGAAACTAAGTTGAATAAATGAGTACCAAATGGGAACCCCTTGAAAATAAATGTTTGAAATCTGAAATAATGTCTAGAAATAATCAATAATAGTGAAGCATGGTTCCTATGGAGACAAATTGTCCAAAAACTTGTTGAAAAGGGGTAAAAATACCTAAAAGGACATTTTTGAAAACAATTTTTTAGACAGGAACATTTTTGTCCTTTGCGTGTTGTCCCTGTAGCTTACAATATCCATGCCGTGCTGAATGACAGTGAGGAGAAACATATAAGTGAATGCGTCGCAGAGCATCACACGGATAAGCAAATAAACTAGAATGAATTGTGTTATGAAACTTTAAACATGCATAACTTGTGACACACATCTGATTTGGATGATTCAAGTGTCTACATAAAACTTATCACTTAAACTAGTTAATGGCTTCAGTTTGGTACAAAAATATTTCGATGCAAGGATTTTATCTGCAAAAAGCTATAAAGGGTAAAAAGTACACTTCCTCAAAAATTTCTCCATACAAAACCAACACCAAAGCCAATGCTCATGTGAACAACTTGACCATATCAAGAACATTTCAAACAACATTTTTCAACTCAACAATGGATCATATAATTTCAAATTCCCATGGTTGGGTTACAGTTGTTTGACATAATAGTTTATGACATTATGCTTAGCTTAAGTTTTGATGATGACAAATATAAATTAGTTAACTATACTCATGCCTATTGTTTTCATGTATACAATACTTAACTATAACTATAGAGTAAGCGTTTTAAAGTGTTTTTACCTATATCATTCCATATTACATGAGATTTGAAAAAATGATTTATGTGTATTAATGTTATTCTATACTATGATATTTTTCCTTATCCTAAAATGATTATATATCAAAGAGTATTCAAAGTATTATTTTCATAACTTTGGTATTTACAAAATATAAGACTTTTCATATGTATGATATTATAACTTTTGTATTTACTCTTATGCATACTAATAGGAGGACTAATCATTGTGTTCATATCATATCATTAAAGGTTGTTTAGAGTAAAGATAAGAGCGAGTATGAAGAAGAAGAAAATTGAAGTTATCATTAGCATACTATACTCAAGATTGAAGAACATAAAGATGAAAAGAAGGATGATTCAATAAGAGTTTAAGAAGAATGAAGACATTCATAAAAACTTGGATGCACCTTAGAAACTTTAAATTTGATAGGTATAATATCTTTAGGATAGAAGTCTTTATGTTAAATTCATTGATTTAGATATGTAATATTGGATGAAGACATTTTAAATCAAAATATGTATTTTAGTTCTTAAGAGAAAGAGTGAAATTTAATTTTTCATAATAATATTTTTGATCTTTGATCATCTGCACCTCAAAAGATTTGAAATTTTTTGATCAATAACTCCATAGATTTTTAAAGTTGTTCTGTTCACTCAAAATGGAGTTAAGTTGAAAAAGTTATAAACATTTCAATTCTATGCTTTGAAATGTGAATTCTATAGAAAATTAGTTTTGACCTTTGGTAACTTTTTTTATTATATCTCTCACTGTACATATATTTTTTATGTGAAACATAATTCATTTGAAA